GAATGAAAAAGGGATTATTAAAAAATATTATTTCTCATAAAAAAATAATGTTGATCCATACACTTTTCAATATGTCATAGCATTATAAAGTTAAAAATGTAAAAAATAAAATCGAGAATTTTCACACAATAATATTATTTGGTAGCCATTTTAACCGTAAAGATAAAATAAAGTCCGAAATTTCTTTTTTGCATAATAAAGTATATTACATTAACTTTAATTTAAGATATATATAAAAGTGTCAGACTTTCAAAAGTTAAGTTGAAAAAGTTCTACTTTCTATATGCATTTTTATGTTTTGAATCCCCCCTGTATTAAGGGAAATGGTCCGATTTAAAAAAAAAGTATGTCGAATGAAAGATCTATATAAATACTACTTCTCATAAAAAAATTGTAATGATTCATACATTTTTCAAAAAGTTATAGCATAATAAAGTTAAAAATGGAAAATACAAAATCGAAAATTTTCACACAAAAATAGCATTCGGTAGCCATTTTCACCATGAAGATAAGATAAAGTCCGAAATTTTTTTTTTTCAAAATATAGTACATTAAATTAGCTTTAATTTAAGATATATATAAAAGTGTCAGACCTTCCGGAACATTTTCAAAAGTTAAGTTGAAAAANTAAAAGTGTCAGACCTACCGGAACATTTTCAAAAGTTAAGTTGAAAAAGTTAAATTTTTGTAAAAAAGTTGTCATTTTAAATCCCCCCTTGTGGGCAGGTTAAGGTTTAAATTTATGAAAAAAATATACCAAACGAAAGTTAATGATATTACACATCTATATAAAAAAAAATTATATTGATATGTTCATTTTTGAAAAAGTTATGGCACTTTTAAGTAAAAAAAATTGAAAAAATTTCGAAAATTAGCGATTTTTAAATTTGTAATTTTTTTGGAGGTTTCCCCCTTTTACGGGGAACGAGGGAATTTTTTTCAATTTTTAAGGGTAATGTCTTCGACTAGATACGATTTGTGATCTTTTGACGTATCATTGAAAGAAATCGGTTCGGTGAGAGCTGAGAAAAAGTGGTAANATTATATTGATATGTTCATTTTTGAAAAAGTTATGGCACTTTTAAGTAAAAAAAATTGAAAAAATTTCGAAAATTAGCGATTTTTAAATTTGTAATTTTTTTGGAGGTTTCCCCCATTCACGGGGAACGAGGGAAATTTTTTTAATTTATTAGAGAAATGTAACTACATACGATTTTTGATTTTTTGACTTATTATTGAAAGAAATTGGTCTAGTGAGAGCTGAAAAAAAGTGACAACAGACACAAAAAAAAAAAAACATCATGGTAAAACCTTCTTAGTAATTAAAAGTAATACCTTCTTAGCTTCGCATCGAAACTAAAAAAATTATCCATACAGAAATTTGAAAAAAAAAAAATAATAATAATAATAATATGTAATTTTGATTCATCAAAAAATATATAAATATTTTTTTTACTATCCAGGAAAGTATTAAATTTTAAAAGAACTTAGGGTAAAAAAAAATGTATTACCTAATATATTTATTTCGTTATAGGAATAAGTTTTTGTAAGTAATTATTAAACTTTTATTTAATTTATTCTTATAACTAAAGCGTTCTAAAGGTATTTAAAATAAATAATTTTACGCAATTCTTTTTTGTTAGTCTTCTACTCTTATTATTGAAATATCATTTTATACTAAAAATGGTAAATATCGTTTCTGAGAAAATCAAATAATTAAGTAGTTATATTATAATAAATATTTGATTTTTAAATATACAATTAAAACTTCAAATAAATCAATAGCGTTTTCTTTCATAAAAATTTGATTAGTTGGTCAACTATTCCATAGGTCAAAGAATCAATTTTAAGTTGGAAATACTCCTTCAAATCAGCAAATTAACATTAATTCGTTTGCTTTTGTAACTAGTGTTATCTGCACTAGGTATGGAGTTTGTACAGCTGTTCATGCTCACCAAAAAATTCATTTAAATTATATAAAGATTAATATCTTTATATAATTTAAATAAATTTAAAGCAATGTTAATAAATACAAAATAACTGAGTAACTAAAAATTTCAAAAGTAAAATATAAACTAAGCTATGAAGGCAGCCGGAATAGACAAAATTTTAATATTAATTTTAAGCATAACTTTATTTTCCAAAAAAAATTTGCACATAAAATTAATCTGTGCGACTTTTAAATAGTAAAATGTGACTGTCCTAGACAATATTTAAGTGGTAAAATAAAAAAAAATCCTGCAAAGGGATCATATCATATTAAGGAAAAATAATTAAAATTAAAAAATACAGTGATTCATTTATTATTAATCACTTAATTAGTCGAAAAATAAAAATAATATTGAAAATTTTCTTTTTTATTTCTTTTAAGTAGTCGTTTTTCTCAATTTATCAATCATAAAGTATTTTTTATATTTATCAATTATACCTTTCTAAGAATGAAATTTTATTTTTTTCAGATGGAAACATACATAATTAACTAGCTTATTTAATAGATAATAATCTAATTAATAAAATGACTTATCAATAATAACTTTGAATTTTGGAAATTATTAATATATTACCGTAAAGGCTGGAGGTGGGAGAGGATGTTTTTATTTTTATCACTAGACATTTAATGGCGCCTCTACTCCTCCAACCTAAATATAACATCCTAAATACTAGATCAAAAGTTACAAAACAGTAATTTACTTAATTAGATAATTTAAACTAGTTAAAAATGTATGTTTCCATTTGAAGAAATAAAGTTAAACCCTTAAAATGTATAAGAGATGAACATACAAAATACTTCATGAATAATAAAATTAAGAAAAACATGCAAATAAAAGAAATCATAAATTAATGAATTACACTATGTTTATTAAATAAATATCTAATTCTTAACAATATAAGACTTCCATGATATCTTCAATCAGAACACATAATACGGGTATCTTCCACTGTTTAAACCCTAAGGCATAATGACATGAAAATTAATAATTAAATAAGTAACATTAGTAATAATCATTGTAACTAAGGCAAGAGAATAAAACATTTCTCCAGCTAATATTGAGACATCGTATTTAAACCTACAAAATTCAAATAACATACTAAAGTAACTTATTTTACGTTAAATGAAAAGGTTTAACTTTTTATATATTGTAATCTATTCTTAAAAGCTGGGACTTTCATATTACTATTACAAGTTTTTGGTTAAACAGGTTGTTGGTCTCAGCAGTCCCATTATGAATAGGGTCTGGACCTTCGAAATGAAGGGTGATTTGCGGATATGGTCTAATGGGCCCGGAGCTCTCAGCACCAGTGCCCCTGCTGAATGGAACATCAAATGGCCTATCAAAATTTTCTGACAATAGGAGTAACTATGACTCTTTTAAGGTAGTAAATGAATTTAGAATAAAAAAGAAAAAAATGAATATGCAATTAGTATTTACTCATTACTACATTTAATTTATTAAAAATAATAATAAGCTATACAATTTATTAAATTCAGTTAAAGAAGTTTAAGAAAGGAAATAATAACAGTAGTGTAATCAGCAAAAGAAATCACACTTTAATATGATCAAAGACTATTTAATAATTGAATAAACCAATAATGTTGATTATAGTAAAAATCAATATAAATATAAATTTAATAATTAATTACAACTATTAAAAATAGTTTTATATTATTTATGTTAAAATTCCCAGTGGATAGGGGATAAGAATATTTCCACAGCCCCTCTGCCAGTCGTAAGAGGCGACTAATGAGGTTGCGTCAGGTCGACAGCCGGCATAAAATTTTTGTCAAATAGTATGAGGTGTTCTGAACAAAATTTAGGCGAATTGCTCCATCTCAGAAGTACGCGGGGACGACTGGTGAGAAGGAATAAAATAGTTAAAAACGGAGAAGGTCTAAGGAATAAAGTGTTTAATCCAGCTGGACAACTTGTGTGGTGGCTGTTTCACCAGTCATGTGGTCTACCCAACGCTTATAATGTCAACGGTGTAGGGACATCACCACTTAACTCTAGCCTGGACTCGTGTATAAGGGAGAAAGATAAATACAAAATAAGAATAGGTACATGGAATGTTGGAACATTAACTGGTAAAAGTGGAGAATTAGTAGAAGTATTGAAGAAGAGAAAAGTTAACATTTGTTGTGTGCAGGAAACTAAGAAAAATTGCCCGACCCCAAGTAGTTGGGATTAAGGCGAAGAAGAAGAATATTATTTATGTTAAAAATTGTATATGTATTATTAATGTAAAAGCTGTTTTAGCGAAGAACATTAAATACTACTGTGTAATGGAGAAATTGAAAATATATAGAATATTTTAATATATTATAAAATTAAGTATAAATATAATAAAAGTTATAATAAGCTAATTTTGATTTCAAATGATTACCAGATACATTTTTTAATTATTTGAAATTTGTCAATTTCAGTAAAATATCATAAAACAAACACAATTTTTGAATCACAAATTATATAAAGCCATTAATCATAGTCAGAGGCCACTATGACGGTATTTCAGGCCTAAACATTACAAATTACAATAATTAATACTGTTATAGCCATTATCATCTATAGGTGTTCAATAAGTAAGGAAACGGGTTTCTATTTTTCTAATTGTTTCTAACAATTTA